CTCTCTCTCTCTCTCTCTCTCTCTCTCTCTCTCTCTCTCTCTCTCTCTCTCTCTCCTTTTCTTACTCACAGAGTGTGAAAGGCTGGGGGACCCCTGCTGCATTTACTTTATCAGCCCAGCACCCCAGCCCTCCACAATTGGTCCCACAAAAGTAAAGGCAGGGCCCCAGCTTCCTCCTCCAGCTCCATTCCCAGAACGAGAAGTGACAGGTCAGAGAGTAGAGAAGATTGAGAGCTCTGAGGTGTAAAAACGCTGCCAGTCATTGCTGTGAGCTAGACTATGCTGTCCACAATTTATAGATCGGCACTTTTGCTACTTGGATGTGGGTCAATGAGGAGGGACTTGGTAGCCATCTCCGGACACACCTGGTAAGTACACACTCCGCACTACGGGTGTGATGCAGTCCAAAGCCCCACAGCAGATCAGTCCCGGTCATGACCGAGTTCTCCACGTCCCCGCATGTGCCCACCAGCCAGCTTTGTGCCAAGGACCTGAATTCCTCAACACAGACCTTGTCGTAGGAGGCTCCTCTAGGCCTTGGTCCACACTGCTTCTGTAATGAGAGGGTCACTGGCCTGGACAAACAGGGGTCCCTTTCAAGCCTAATGGTTTTACTGCTTCCGATCATGTTATGGAAAATAGAATTATTCAGGAAGACTGAGATCCCACAGCACAGAGCATCCTGTCCGAGATCCTGTGACCTCTCGGACGTCCCCTGTCACCAGTAGTGCCCTCTCTCCGACCCACTGACTTCTATTTCCTTTCGATCTATTTTGGGGAATTCTTTTTTCTCCCTCCTCTTTCTTAACGCTTGCAGGGTAGCTCGTGGGCATCTCTGCCTCTTCAGATCTCCTAACACTATCTCTCAGACAGATTTACGTGTTTTTTAACCAAAGACAGAAAAAGCTCTTGATGGCTTTTGTGAGAGACATAAAGGGCGTTGGCTCTCTTGGAGTAGAAATGGAAAAGTTCAAGAAGTAGAATGCAATATTTCAAAGCCCTGCCGCAGATGCTTTCTGAGCAAAGGAGTGAGTAGTTTGGAGGCCAGCTACCACCGTGCTGAAATTAGGCATTAGTTTGTGGGTGACTTTTTCTACCCCATTCCAAGGGCAAACCAGCTCTGCCTATCCCCACCTGTGCCTGTTAAGGAAAATGTCTCCGCAACTCACAGATAGCTGTGCAAACACATCTCATGGCTCTGTCCTCATAGGACTTAAATTAGAGCTTCTAGAAAAAAAAATACTTAAAAATATGCATTGGCTGCGAAACTTTCCATGTCATAAAAATCTCAAAATAATCTAGTGCCTACTTTGACATATCAATGGACTTCTAACAGTGCTGTGCTTCGAGTGTGCTCCTCAAGGGTTTCTGGGCCAGAAGCTTGGTCCCTGAGGAAGCTGCAGTAAGAGTCACTGGGACCTTGAAGAGGTGTGGCCTAGTATGACATGGCTAGTGTGGGGGTACTGCCCTTGGAGGGGATTAGCATTGTTGTTGGGGGACCCAGTTAGTTCTCTAAAGAGGCTTTGCTATAAAAGGATGAACCTGTCCCTTTCCTGGTCTCTGGCTTCCTGTTGGATGATGTGACTTCTCGCTCTCACATATGGTCCTGTTATGACACTGCAACCAAGGGGGCCACACCAGAACCAGTACTGTGATGTTTGGACCTTCAGCCTCCAAAACTATAAGCTAAGCAAACCTCTTTACTTTGTAAGTCACTTAGACCCAGGCATTTTATTATAGCTAAGTCAAACAAACAAATAAAAAAAATAGCATCATAATTTATTAAACTCGAACAGTAAAATATCCTTAGAGCACATTTCCATAACCAGCTCATTTTGTGCTCTCTGTACTTCGTAGTAAATATTATCCCACAGAGGCCTCATCCTCACTCTAAAAACTTTCTCCCTTCTCTGGCTCCTACTTTTTATTTACTTCATAGCTCTTTCACTGTGATGGTGACCAGCAGAACAAACTGCTCTGGTGAACTAGTTCTGTACAGTTGCCTTTGCTAAGTGTGGCTATAAGGAGAAATCACTCCTATGCTCAGTTTACCAACCAGTCAGTTGGAAGGCTGATTATCTGGGTGGGCCTGACCTAATCAGATGAGCTCTTGAAAGGAGCTGCATAGGCCCACGTAGAAGCCCCGGAGGGCCTATGCAGAGGAACTGTGAGCATCCTGTAGGACAGTGGTGGCAAACCTTTGGCACCTGTGCCTCAGCCGAGGTTTGCATCACTGCTCTAGGGGCTGGGAGTGGCCCCTGACTAACAGCAACAAGTGATCAGGGCTCTATCCTACCTCTGCAAGAAACTGAATTCTTCCAACCATGTGTCCATTTGGAAGGGGCTCTGAGCTCCAGAGAGAACGTAGCTCAGCTGATGCCTTGATTGCAGGGTGAGCCCTGGGGCCACTGGATTTCTACGTTACTGCTGCTTCTC